TGCAATTTTTATGATGCACAGTAAAAGCTCGGTACTACAAACACGAAGGGACCGACGAAACTGGTTCGTTGTACCGAGTTTTCGCTGTAAGGAATGCCGCTGAACACTATCCTTAAGACGAGCTGGCCATAGGAGGAGAAATTCCTTGTTCGTCGTTCCGATAAATTCGTTGTAATGGGGGTCGTTATAACGAGCTTTTACTGTAAAATTATATCGGATGTGTTTTAATTCATTATAGAAATTGGCTGTGAGCTCGAAAAGATGGAACGTCATTATCACTCAAGAAGATACATCTGACGAATCCGTGGCAAACGCGAAGGATCGCATTTTGGCGATTTTGAAGAATTGTAGCAACGTGTCCACCCATCGAATCGTCTACGACAAAAGGAGTTTCATTCGTCCAGACAATGTCTGTGACTTTCCGACAGCTCATTTTCATGGGGTCGTGACAACCGCGCTCCCTGTCATTGGCCAGGAATTTTTTGAAAAATTATTCGCGACTTTCCGCATCAAGGTCAAGTCCATGCGAGCTACGGGACTCGCGAAATGGGATCAACACATGACTTATGTGGAGCAGTCGATGATATCGGCGGAAAAAAACGCATCCTCGATCCCGCAGCCAAAAAGGAAACTTAGTGCTGCTTTCTCAGAGTCGGAAAACTCATCGAACTCTGCCAACAGGACCAACAGCGCCACCGTGACAACCTTATTCAGAACGTCGACAAGCAAGCAAGCGAGCACAGTGAAAGTTCGGGGAATGAGGGAACCAACGGATAGGGGGGGTACCGATGCCGGTGCTTGAATCCGAAATCGAGCGGGGCGTCATTTTAGATGCGATCGCCTACAGCAACGACGCAGACTCCGCGATGGAATATGTGTGGACGGCCGATGTTCTTTTGGCTTTTAAATATTTCGAGTCCATGGAGAAGTTTTTTACGCGACTATTCGGCAGAGGGAAACATTCGATCCCTGATTTGTTAGATAACCAAAATTGGATAGGTGAATCAATTCACAAGCGAATTCCCGTCCGTAGAATGTCCACGACATCGTTGGTTGGACTTTTAGAAGAATCGCCGAAAAAACGTTCGCGATCAGATGTCGTCGAGGGTGGAGTTAATGTCGATGACGTTGCATCCGAGCCCGTAGTAAAAGGGAAAACAGTGCCGAACCCCCCGACCGCGAAACGCTCTGGATCGATTTTGAAACAACCAGGCGCGAATATCGACGACTCCGGAATCCTTACTGAGGATGTTGATGCTATTTCTGGACCGCCAACTGTTGAAAAGGCTCACAACGTCAAATCCACGACTCCGAACGTCGCACCGCCTCCACGTCCGCCGCGAGAGTGCTCACGCACGAATGTGCTCGTTCCAAAGGTCGTCCAGAAAAATGTTGACGCGAATTCTCAGGTCGCTGGACCTTCGAGGAAGGACACTTCGAAAGCCGTTGACGAAGATAACGACCGGAGGAATGAGACTGCTAAAGCAGCTAGCGACGGTGACGAGGAAGAATTGGAGAGCATATACGAGTTTTAGTAAGAATCGGGAACGGAGGGGAGGACAGCCCCTGTATTACTTTCAGATTGTTTTTTAGATGATTGAATTAATGAATTCTTCAATCAGTGATTTTATTCGAAAACTGCATTTGTTTTGATTTCTTTTCGTTTCCTCAGCGTCGTATCGTGTTGTCCATTGTAGCTCAAAGTAGCGCCGTTGTTCACGAGCGATCCAGAAAAGATGAACATATCGATACGCAGGATGAATGTTTTTACCTATGTGCCTAGGTGTGTTTGTTTACAAACAATCCCGAAATGATGATCGTATCAGTAGATAGATAAATATATTTATCTATGTATTTAGATTTCTTCGTTTACAAACAATCGCAAAATGATGAACATAACGATAGATAGATAAATTCATCTATCTATGTATCCAGATCTATTTGTTTACAAACAATGAACCAAAAATTGACAAGCATTCGAACAACATGATATATTTATCTATCTATGTATCCAGATCTATTTGTTTACAAACAATGAACCAATACTTGACAAGCATTCGAACTAATTAACTATCTATCTATCTATCTATCTATCTATCTATCTATCTATTTTTTTTGGCGCTGAGTCACCGCACGGAGCGGACGTGTTTTTCGTTGCTCCGCCTACTTGGTCGTATTTCTCGATAAATCCGTACAAATTTTCGCTCGCCTTGCGCTTGTTCACCTTCCGAGTGTCTCCCTCATCCCGAAGGAAGCCCCGCTGTTTCACTTCACTGCACCCGTGAGCACCCCCGTCTCTTCGTTTATCACTCAGGCAACCCGTTCCGATGCCAGCTGATCCAGCTGACGCCGAACAGGTGGACGTCACTGACAGAGTCGCCGCCGACGCGGAGAGGAGGGCTGCTGCGACCGCGGCAGCTCTCGCCGCCGCCGCTGCGCGTGCATCGCTCCCCATGAAGAGAAGGCAACTGCCTACGGACAGCTCCTCTGGAGGGGTTCAGGGAGATCCCAAGAAGATGAGGGAGAATTCATCCAGGACTGATTCGGGGGCCGAACCCGGTCAAATGGAGACTGACGACCAACTTGATTCTCGGGCTGTGGAAACCGATGCGGAGGCTGATTCCTGCCGCGAAGACGAGGCGCCGTGGGAAACCGTTCCCTCCCGTGCCGTCAAGGCTCAGTTCCAGGCCACGCGGAAAGCCGAGCGAGCTGTGCGTCGCCTCAACAGATCCAGCGGTCTTGGTCCCGCGGGGTTCGAGGTTGACATCGCCCCTCTCGATGAGAGCATTCGATTCTCCGCCGAGAACCTCCTCAGAGTTTTTTGCGACATCCGAGAGGTAGTTAGAGAGGCGCAACCACGTCTTAACTCACGAGGTGGTATCTCTGTTCGCGTACCTCAACAGTCTCATATCGAGTCTCTTAAGACCCTGAAGGCAATCGCCGATGTCCCAGTGAAACTCAATCTGCCCTCCGCAGCTTCTCTATGGGCGCGAGTGTCGGGAGTACATCCAGCCTTCTCCGAAAAAGATTTGCTCACAGTCCTCCGACCGCAGGGCGTCATGGAGGTCGTACGAGAGATGTATTCGGCCTCGGAGTCTACCTCAACCTCTGAGAATAAGCGATTACTGAAGCCGTCGAACCGGCTCAGGATTCGCTTCGAAGGAGAAATCAGACCAGAGGTTGATATTGCTCATCAGGTCTTCAAGGTCACGCTCTGTCCGGCCTCCCCACTGCAGTGCCTCGCTTGCTGTGGCTTCGGTCACCGCGCCTTGATGTGTCCAGAAAAACTTTCCCCAAGATGCCGGAAATGCGGTGGCCTCGGCCATCAACTATGGCAGTGCACCGCGAGAGCGAAGTGCGTTAACTGCAAGGGCTCACATGCGGCGAACGACTCCAGGTGTCCTGTCTTTGCTGTTTATGCGAAGGCCGCCCAGGAGCGCTTCGTTGGGAAGGTTGTTGCTGGTCTCGACAATGTGTCGGTCCGGCAAACCGCTGTTCTTGTTCCCGGCGTAGCGCCTGTCCCCTCCGTCCCCGTGGACGGCGTCCGGCCCTCCTTTGCCTCGGTTGTCGGCAAGCCTGAGACGATTGCGCTCGTTCGGTCCACTGAAGAGGGTGAGCGTATTGTATGCTACCTGCCTAGACCGTCGACGAAGAGACCAAATCCGGTCCGAGCGGCCAAGCCCAAAGCTCTTCCCCCGCAGCAGTCTCCCAAAAAACCAAACGTGGCCCCCGATAATGATGCTCTGGTTGCTGCGGTTACAGCCAAAGTCCTAGAGAGTGTTTCATTGAGCCTCGATTCTATCATCTCCAGAATAGTCTCTAGTGCCATCGCTGCGGCCGTTCCGCGCATCGTTGAGGCCGTCACTGCGACCCTCAAGGCTACCTTCAGCAAGCCTGTCTCTGTTGGCACACCCCCCGCATCGCACCAATGAGTCCCGGAATTCCCCCTCATAATGCCGAAGATAACCATCCCGCCGTTAAGTGCCTGCTCTGCCCATTTGTGGCCTCCAATCCGCGAGGCCTCAAGATCCACATCACGGTCATGCACAAAGACGGGGCCGGACCATCCGGCACAGCTAGTTCCCCCAGAGCTGCCTCTCAGCCCGGGGCTCGCCCCACAAACCTCATTTGTATCATTTGCAATTACGTCG